CACCCTCCTCAATGCCATCAAAAAGAGCAACTTTGTTGCCGCGGAAGTCCCTAAATATAAAGAAGATCATTTCGGTAATGTCAGAATGATCAGCAAAACATGCCATTAACAACGGATATTATTTCTCAAATGTAACATGGGAAAACTCCAGAAAATTTAACAGAATCCTTTTTTCGAAAATTTAAAAAAAGCTTCGGTAACAATCATGAGCAAATCAAAGTGGTTGCAGTATCCAATCAATCAAACCATTTTCTCATCAAATTATGGCAAAGACATCCCAAACAGACAATACCATGTCGAATGAACGCTTACTCGAATATAAATCTCGTTTTATTTTGTACAACCGAAGCAATTCGTACACGAATTGGTCCAAAACAGCCTAAACATAACTTAGCAGAAACACTGACTGAACCCGAATACTAACCCAAAAATGCTCCAAGACCCAATTCCAATATGGGTTTTCGAGTTCACGAAATTCCCAAAGTTTATCACTCAGTTACCAATCAGAACACACAACAAACAGCAAAATCGCACAGCTAAAACCACACCACTACACAGATCCAAATACAAATCTACTATTTACGTCACACGATCAGGTAAATTAGCTTCAGAATGTTCTGGAAAACGAAAGATGAAAATTACAAAACACCAAATGAATCGGATTCGTATGGGAACCGGAATCGAGCTAACCTTCGAGCATTCATGACTGCAATTCGATCCCGTCGCTGCTTCTTTGATCCTTGAATTCGAGTTTCTGTGAAGCAAATTCGAATTTTTCCAAAAATCTTAAAACTGAAACCGAAAATTAAAATCATGATAAAAGCAGAGGTGATGAATGTTTCAGATCTGAGATATTGGGAGCGACGAAACGTACCGTTTTGGAGGAAAGCGGAGGATTTTTCCCTGCGGAGTAAGAAAGGAGGGGGAAAATGGAGGGAGGAGGAGGAGTTTTAACGACTGATCTAGCGGGGGGAGGAAGGAAGAAAGATTTTACGTTTCTGGGTCCCAAATGGATGATGGGTATGAATATTGGATAAGCATGGGAATGTTTTTAGGGTTGGTTTGATATTGCTGTACTTTGAAAAAAAAATTGCTCTAAGAATAAATGGCTGTGAAATAAATTAGTAGAATATTTGGTAAATTTTTTTGTAAAAGTGCTTTTGGAAAAAAAAAAAAAAAACAGTCTGATAGTGGGTCTTTTTATTAAAGGAGCACTGTAGCTCCGTGTGCTTTGAAAAAAACTAGTTTTACAAAGCTTCAAATACCAGCTTTAACTTTTTCCTTTGATTTCAGCTTATTCTCATAGCAGCTTAAAAAATAAGCTATTTTTTTCAAGTTTACCAAACACCTAAAACTCTTACAGCTTTTTTTTATGGATATTTTTTTTTTAAACACCTAACTCCCAAACCACCCCTTATTGCATTGGGATTTGTTACTACTGTACTGACAGTAAATGAATTTTTCGACTCGCAATGGCAGAATACAATCATGTTTATACATTTTGGTGTGGTTTCATCCGCTGATTTCTTTCTCCTTCGCCAACTAAAAATTTAACAGATAATGCTATTGCTTTGTCTAAAAAAAGAAAAATTAAAATAGCACCATAATGTAGCTAGTTACAAGTGCGTATCGAACTTGCGTTCATGTACATTAAATCTAAATCCCATTCGACTAAGTGGAAGCAATTATTAGAAGACAAAGATCGACTTTAATTATCTGACAATTATGCATATAATAAGTTACTCTACTCCAAAAATTCATAGCGACGAGAAGGTTTGACATTTACATTTTGATTTTTTTACCACTTAAGTTGTAGTATGTACTAATGGTTAGATTGTTCGACTATTAAAGTGATATGTGAGTTAAACGAACTTGAATAAGACATAAAGATGAAGTAAACTGTTAAATTTTCTTATTAGGTTAGATTTTGCTACATGATAACTGGTGACGCTACATAACAAATATTTATTGACTTGTTAGGTAATTTTCGAAAACGTAACAAACATCCATGGACGGGTGATACTTTTAAGAACTATTGGGCTGGGGTGGAATCTGAATAGGGTTTTTCTAACCCGGACACAGCCCATAATATATAAAATAAAAATAAAAAGTGTAAAAAAGCAAAAAATGGTGGGAATTTCATCGTCGTCTTCAATTGGCGAGCATCCAATTCTGGTCGGACTGTGATAAACAAAACCCTAATCCGTACAAGGTAGGGCTTGTTGGAATCCGAATACCTCACATCTCAAGCTCAATGGGCTCACTGAATGATGACGCCGCCGCCACCACCGCCACCACCTTCGAGTCCTCACCCGAGATGGTGAAATTTCTCTGCGACCGGTTGCTTGACCGGGCCCAGCCCATCTCGGAGCGTTTCAGAGCCTTGTTCTCTCTCCGCAACCTCAAAGGCCCTGCCCCTCGCGACGCCCTCATTGCCGGTTCGTTTTCTGTACTTGTCTGCAAGTATTGATTGTTAATCATTATATTTTCCGGAGCCAATTTGCTTGGAAATTCAGGACTTGTTTTGGATTTTCAATTTCTAGAATAAGGGTAATCTTTTTTGATGGATTGATGAGAAATTTGGAAGTAGTTGTTTTGATTCTTAAGGCGAAATTCACTATTTTATCTTTGAGCTGAAGTAAAAGTTTGGACATTGGGCAAGGGGCTGGTAGCTCGGTTAGTTAAGAGCATTCTTCCGTGCACCGGTTGTCCCGAGTTTGATTTGCCCCCTCCCTCGCATGTATTAAAAGAAAAAGTTTAGAACTTTGGATGAACATTGTGACGGCAGTAATCGGTTTTACTAGATAAGTGAGCATTGATCATTAGGACCTTAGGTGTTTGTTGATAGACAGGGCGTTACACTGAACTTCTGGCATTACGATTACAAATGCTTGGAAATGGGCTGGAAGTAAACATGCTATATATTGGAGTTTTTGTTTTGTTCTTTGGTAAATATTAATGGATGTTTTGCCTCCGTAGATCTCCTGTTATAAACCATTGTGTATTGGTAATTACTGTTGTTCTAATTGGTTTAAGGATATGTGGTTTCCTCTGCAGCAACGAGGGATCCTTCCAATTTGTTGGCACACGAGGCTGCGTTTGCATTGGGTCAAATGCAAGATGTGGATGCAATCCCTGCCTTGGTTGCTGTTCTAAATGATTTCTCTTTGCATCCCATTGTTCGTCATGAGGTGAGCTTTGCCACCTCAATCTACTAATATTCCTCGCGATCTTGTAATACATCTTATTTTTCTTATTTCATTTTATGCAGGCAGCAGAAGCTCTTGGTGCAATTGGTTTAGAGAGCAATGTTCCTCTTTTGAAAAATAGTCTAGCTCTAGATCCCGCTCAGGAGGTCAAAGAAACTTGTGAATTGGCCCTTAATCGGATTGAGCAGTTGAAGGATGCTGGTTGTCAATCAAATGATGAAAAATCACCTTTTATGTCAGTTGATCCTGCTGCACCTGCTACTTATGGTTCTTCAGTAAATCAGCTAAGGTCTGCATGGTTATCATTTATATTTTTCTTCTTCCATTTATTCTAATATGTTAGATATCTGACTTGTGTCAATCATTTTAAGGGAAGTTCTTCTGGATGAAAACAAAAGTATGTATGAGCGCTATGCCGCTCTCTTTGCACTGCGGAATGATGGTGGAGATGAAGCTGTTACCGGTATAGTTGATTCATTGGGTTCAAACAGTGCTCTCTTGCGTCACGAGGTTTGTTTATTATCTAATCATACTGAACTTTATAAATTTAGACCGGGCACTCGCGTACACACACACACACTCTCTCTCTCTCTCTCTCTCTCAAAATGGCTATTTGATTTCTAAACTTGCACAAGGATGCCTATAGTTTAATGTTTCTAATTGCTTTTGGAGTATGGTAAATTGACATTCATGCAAAACTAGCATGTTTAGACCTCTTATCTGATATAGATTTGATCGGTGTCTTGTCACCTTCATGTCTTCTTTGCTGTGACTTTCAGGTTGCTTATGTGTTGGGTCAATTGCAGAACAAAGCTGCTTCGGCCGCTCTTTCCAACATACTTATGGATAGAAATGAACACCCAATGGTTAGACATGAAGCTGCAGAAGCTCTTGGTTCGATTGCAGGTACGACTGCTTGATATAATTATGTTTCCAAATATACGTCTGTTTATAGTGTAGTAGCTAATTGGCATTTTGGGGCTATTTAATTAAGTTACTGGTTTGTGCGTAGATGACCAAAGTGTATCACTTCTCGAAGAATTTGCGAGGGATCCTGAACCTATTGTGTCACAGAGTTGCGAAGTTGCTCTAAGCATGCTGGAATTTGAGAGATCAGGAAAATCCTTCGAGGTATGCATATCAAACCATGGTTTGAAACCGGTCAAACTCTAGATTTAGTACATCGTATCCGGAAAACGACTGAAGTCTCCGTTTTATGTGCAGTTTCTCTTCATGCAAGCTCCTCTAGTGCAATAGATAATGACAGACAGTTTCAATCACCCGGTGCATTTCATCCGTACACCAAATCATTCCGACGCAGACAGTTCATCCATGTCGTGGAAGCATGAAGTTGGGGAGAAACAGAAGGAACCAAATGTTTTACTTTGTCCGAATCGAATGAATTAAGCTGTATTATTATACATATTGTCACAAAGTAGTTGGTTTGGGATTATTGGTGTTTGCGGAATAACCTACACGATCATTAACAAATAAAATCACACTGCATGGAGTAATATGACAAATGTGAATTTTTGTTCCTTCCAAGTGCCGGCCACGTGTGAGTTGGCGATCGAGCAGATGCGAGCGGTCGACCGAACCATTCACGTCGGTAGATCGAACCGTTCACGTCGGTAGACCGTACCAAGCACAGCTCTTACGTCAAAATCTTTGAAGTGACCTTTTGACATTGACTTGGTTGCAAAAAGCTTCTTTAGCACACTTTAATACATTATCGTTCAATAAAAAACGCAAGAAAGCTTCTTTTTTTTGAAAGGCCGCAAGAAAGCTTCTTTTGCACGTTGTGATGTGTTCCATATCGGGACTTAAAAGTGAGACTGTGATGATTCGGGCCGGGTCGGGTGAAAAAGGGACGGAGCCTGGGTCCGTTAAAACCAGACAGCAAGCGACAAGGAGCCCGTGTGGAGAACGAAAGTTATTCTTTCTTCCTCAAAATCCCAGCGAGGGTCTCTCACTTCTCAGTTGTAGAGAGAGAAAGGGAGAGAGAGAGGAATGGAGAACCCGCAGGCCCAGAAGCCATGGAAGGTGGAGTACGCGAAGTCGTCGAGATCGTCGTGCAAGACCTGCAAATCCCCCATTGAAAAGGAGACGCTCCGCCTCGGCAAGATGGTCCAGGCCACCCAATTCGACGGCGTCATGCCTGTAACTCACTTCCCCTTCACTCTCTCTCTCTCTCTCTCTCTCTCTAACCCCCATTTCACTTGCACTGTTACTCTCATTGCCATTGGCTCATAGGTATTAACCCAATACGGCAAAAAGTTTAAGAAAGAAAACAAGAACCTTGAAAACATCGATAGTGTGAGAATTTTAATTTTAGAAATTTTGGATTTCTGTTATTTTTTTGTGCATATTATGCTGCATTTTCAATTACTTTGCAGTTTTGTAAGTCAAAAGTCTGGAGCTTTTTGTTGGTTTTCACATTGTTTGGCATTTTAGTTACTGTTATGTAATTGGGAACTTAGTCTCTGTTTGTTTCGAAGTGACGTAGTCATTCAGAAATGTTTGATAATGTTTGTGTTAGTCGGAAAGTGTTCTTCGGCAGATAACTTTCCAAGATTACATGAGGAGATGCTTGTGAGAAATGTTTTTATTTGTTCTTTCTCAGAAAAGAGACAACTTTTCCAGCTCTATTGTGAAGTTGACATATTTATCGAAACATAATCAAGAAAACTTATCCTATTTCCGCTTGAAAAAACTGGAGCTTTATAGATTTATATTGCTGTACTTTTGTTTTCTTAATCTGTCCTCCTGTTTTCTTGTTCGATTTCCTCAAATACTACTGCATATATAAATGTTTGGTTTGTTTTTGTTTTCTGAATCAGATGTGGAACCATGCTGATTGCATAATGAAGAAATCGAACCAGATAAAATCGTACGTGTTACTGTAATGCTTATCATAATCTCCTTTGAATTTAGTGGATGAATGCAGTGATTAACTAATTGCTTTTGTCTTGCATTTAGAACTGATGACGTTGAAGGCCTTGAGCTCATTCGTTGGGAAGATCAGCAGAAAGTTAGAAGTTATGTACAAAGTGGTGGACCCCCGGATACAACACCAGCAACAAGCAAGTTCACTACTAAAGAATGTGGTATTGAAGTTTCGCCAACTTCTCGCGCTACTTGCAAGCAATGCAGCCAAAAGATTTTAAAAACAGAGGTTGGTAATAATGTATCCCTACCATTTCTATGTTCAGGAAGTGAATTTTTGTATTCGTTGTGACAAGCTTTCATCTCAGTTAATCTATAAAAACCTATCATCATCATCATCATCATCATCATCATCATCATCATCATATATAAGATACAATATCTTTCTGCAGTTCTAGTTAATATGGTGTAACTGAAGTTGAGTGCTCTGCAATCTGCATGATTCCTTTTTAGGGGAACTAATAAAAAGTCCCTCACGAAACTTTTTTTTTTAATCGAAAAACACTTAACAACTTGTCTTAGTATTAAGGACACTTTTTATATTATAAGGACAAAAAACAAAAAGGATTCAAACTTCATGAGGGTTTTGAATTGAAAAACATGTCCTTAATAATAAACATAGGTGACCTTAATGATAAAGAACCTTGTCTAAGGGTTTCTGAATAAAAAAAAGTTTTGCGAGGGGCTTTGTATTAATCTTCTTTTCTTTTTATTTCATTCTTAGGTCCGTATATCAACCAAGCCTGAAGGTCAAGGGCCTAGGAGCCTGGCATGGAACCATGCCAACTGCTTCATGGTATTATCACCATCCATCGAAGTGGAGAAGTTGCCTGGATGGGAGACCCTCCCAGTTTCTGATCAGGAAGCTGTACGTGCCTTGGTTAAGAAGGTTCCTTCTAATGCTGGCACAAAACGAAGAAAAGATGCTGGTGATGATCAGAAGTCAAAAGTTGCTAGGTCTGAAGGAGATGTGTCAATGAGCAGGGATGTGTCTGTGAGGAGTGCTTCTGATGTGGGGGATAAACTGGAGGCCCAAACTAAAGAGCTGTGGGCACTGAAAGATGATCTTAAAAAGCATGTGACAAATGCAGAGATGAGAGAAATGCTTGAAGCCAATGATCAAGATTCAACAGGATCAGAGCTTGATTTGCGCGAGCGCTGGTAATATCTTCTACATTGTTCTAAGTGTGGAAATTGGCTATTTTCTTGTCCCTTTAGTTTCTTCTTTTTTGCAGTTTCACTTTTAAAAATAGTTTTTTTGATTAAAAATGGTTTTTCCGTAAATGCTTTGATTCATATTCCTTGTTTTTTAAAGGTTCACAGCTTCGCATAGGCTTGTTAGATTTTGTTGCCTGATTGTTTTCCATAATGTAGACCTCTATTTTTGTTTCCTAGATGTACCCAGCTGTGTGTAAATTCTCGATGTGTTAATTGCTATTGGGTAATCATCGTCTCTAAGTAGATCATTGTTTTTCATCTAATTGACTTGGAGATGATATTTTGTATTGCTGTACTTGTTTAGTGCTGATGGAATGATGTTTGGAGCACTTAAGAGCTGCCCACTCTGTTCTGGTTCTCTTCGATATTCTGGAGGCATGTACCGGTGCCATGGCTACCTATCGGCCTGGAGTAAGTGTTCTTACTCCACTCAGGAACCTGAACGTCTTGAAGGGAAGTGGAAAATCCCAGAAGATACGGAGAATCAATATCTTAAGAAGGTATTCAACTTTGGTTAATTATGCGTTGGTTGGTAGACAAGTTATGAATGGAGTTTTATTTATATATTTATTTGTTTTTATTTGCAGTGGTTTAAATCACAAAAGCTTGCAAAACCTGTGCGGATACTGCCTCCATTGACACCTAGCAAGCCTTCTGAGAGTCCAGGCCAATCTCATTCGTCTAACAGTACAAGCTTGGTGGATTTAAAAGTTGCTTTTCGCGGATTACCTAAAGAATCAATGGTATGCCCTTTTTTGCTCCTTTTAAGTTGTATTTAGTTTTTATCATCTGTGGAATTATCTTTCTTCCGTAGTTTCAGTTCTGTCTATCTATTTCATCAAGGGTGATATTGCAGGAAGAATGGAGTAGAAAAATTGACGGTGTAGCTGGAGTGGTTCATTCGAAGATCAAGAAAGGCATGTGCTGTTCATGGACATAATTTTGATTTAATTTTTGCATTCTTTGGTTTACGGCTGTATCAGTAAAATATGCATAATGATAGTTATTCTTGCTTACCAAATCAAAGTGCAGATACTAATTGCTTAGTTGTGAGTGGAGCATTTGATGATGATGCTGAGATGAGAAAAGCCAGGTTAAGATGCTATTAAATTGCTGGTCTTGACTCTTGAGTATATTTCTACGTTGGTTCCTTTTTATCTGACTATGATAGGTACGTTTTCAGGAGGATGAAATTACCAATTGTTAGGGAAGATTATCTGGTTGATTGCTTTAAAAGACAGAAGAAGCTTCCATTTGATATGTACAAAGTTGAAGCTGTCGGTGAATCCTCTAGCATGGTCACTGTCAAAGTGAAAGGCCGAAGTGCTGTTCATGAATCTTCTGGTCTGCAAGATACTGGGCATATACTTGAGGATGGGAAAAGCATCTACAATACAACTTTAAGTATGTCTGATCTATCAACTGGTGTTAACAGGTGTGTTCGGTTTATTCTATCTTTCGTGCTCAAATATTTTTCTGGTACTAATCTATTGTTCTTCGCATCAATTGGTACTAATCATTTCTTGAATTTAAGTTGCTAGTATCGTTTCTTGCCTTGTATCCTAATGCATGACTAGACCATCATGTTTTAAGATAAAACAATTTTGCAAAATCTTGTTGAAATAGTCTCTCAAAATTGCAGTTTTCTTCTGAACTTAGGTTGGAATATAAACATTAGTTCTTATCAATAATTTTCTTTATAAATTAAAAGGAATAAAGTGTTGTTCTACTGTCTTGGAAGATGAACTTTATTGTATTGTTTTACCCATCACTTGCAGTAGTTGTGTCTTTTCTTTTCATTTTAGCTTTTTTAGAATAAACATTTGAACTCTTATTTTAGTACCTATTATCTCTCAATAAAAATTCACAATATAGGATTATAAATTCTTATTTCTAACTCTCTCTTGCTGTCTCTCTTTTCTATGTAAAGTTACTACATTCTCCAAATTATACAAGATGATAAGAGTTCTGACTGTTATGTGTTCCGTAAATGGGGACGAGTGGGGAATGATAAAATTGGAGGAAACAAACTGGAAGATATGTCGAAATCAGATGCGATCCGTGAATTTAAACGTTTGTTCCTTGAGAAGACTGGGAATTCGTGGGAAGCATGGGAGCAAAAACAAAATTTTCAGAAGCAAGCTGGAAAATTCTTTCCATTGGATATTGTACTGCTTGTTCTGTTCTTTCTTTTATATTTTCCTTAACTCTGTTTTTTGTTCTTAAATTTAATATCTGACTAAAACTTGAAATTTTCAGGATTATGGGATTAATAAACAGGTTTCCAGAAAAAATCAGAACAATGGGGACAGCAAATTGGCTCCTCAGTTAGCAGAATTGATGAAGATGCTTTTCAATGTTGAAACATACAGGTTAGCAAGTTTTTTTCTTTAAATGTTTGTTTCTCCCCCATCCCGTCCTTTTATTTATCTATAACTGTGAGACTGAGTACTGAGTTTTGCAGAGCTGCCATGATGGAATTTGAGATAAATATGTCAGAAATGCCGCTTGGAAAACTGAGTAAAGCCAACATCCAAAAGGGTAAACATTGAAGGGAGAATCTCTTCAATTTTCTGCAGAGCTCAAATATATACTGTTCTATATTCATACTTATTCTAGCTGTTTGGATGATAAAGTATTGTGTCATTTAACTTCGTCATTTGTCTGTTCTCTCTATTCAGGATTTGAGGCATTAACAGAAATACAGAATCTGTTGAATAATAATGGCCATGCTCCTTCCATAAAAGAAAGCTTGATTATAGATGCAAGCAACCGTTTTTTCACTGTGATCCCTTCCATACATCCACGTGTTATCAGGGATGAGGATGACTTTAAGTCAAAGGTACATAAGGGTGTTTTGCATATTCTCAAGCCAGTGGTTTCCTTCATGCCTTTTCAATATCGAAAGATGGTTTTTCTGCTCCTATGTTTAATATGCATGTATTAAATGATGTCATTGGAGTTTTTTTTTTTTTTTGGTTGATGATACCAATCTCTTCCTTAATGGATTGCTTATGTTAATTTTTATGCTAGCACTGTAATATTATTGTTTCATCGTTCAGATATTATCTTTGTAACCATAATTATTTTGATAAGTTATTTACTAAAAAAAATGTGATTCTGGTATGAATAATATTTATGTTTCATTACTTTTCATATGTTAAAAGATGAACTCATGCGAAAAGAAAAAGTTCATGTAAAAGGTGGGATATTGGAGTTTGACATATTAAAAGACGTTGATGCTGAATTTACTGCTGTGATGAACATTTACATTGAAACTGATATTGGCAAGTCTGCATAGTTACAAGCAAGGGATAAAATGTTTATCAGCCTTCATTTATCCTGGCAGGTGAAAATGTTAGAAGCTCTACAGGACATTGAAATTGCTTCCAGATTAGTTGGTTTTGATGCTGATAGTGATGACTCCCTTGATGAGAAGTATAAGAAGCTCCGGTGTGATATTGATCCAATTCCTCATGATAGTGAAGATTATCGATTGATTGAAAAATACCTTCTTACTACTCATGCTCCTACACATACGGTGGGTTATCGTGATACTCTTGAGTTTTGAGCATATGTGCTGGTGACCTATGTTAGTGTACTCAATATTTAAATGTTAATTTATAGTTTTCTTCCCCTAAATCTTGTCTCTGGCATCTTCTAATGCTATCAGGATTGGAGTCTTGAACTTGAAGAAGTTTTTGCACTTGAAAGGGAAGGAGAATTTGATAAATTTGCTCCCTATCGGAAAAGGCTTAAGAACAGAATGCTTCTTTGGCATGGTAAGTTGCACTACCTACAAACATAATGTCATAAAACTTCTGTGCAGTGAGATGGGAAAGTTCCTTGCAATTTTTCTTTTACCAAGGTTGATAGAAATGCACTACTAACTGTACTAACTGATAACTTTATCCTCCTAGGTTCTCGGTTTACAAATTTCGTGGGTATACTTAGCCAAGGACTAAGAATAGCTCCTCCTGAAGCTCCAGCTACTGGTTACATGGTATCTCTCTCTCTCTCGCACATTTATGTCTATGTGATGTCTTACATGTCTCTGCGGGTGCATAGTAGTAGTGTATCTGCTCTTTCTGTAGATTAAGAGTGTAAACATTTTGTATTTCAGTTCGGCAAGGGGATTTACTTTGCTGACCTTGTCAGCAAGAGTGCACAGTATTGCTATACAGATAAGAAAAATCCTGTGGGCCTCATGCTTCTAAGTGAAGTTGCATTGGGGGAGGTGTATGAGCTCAAGAAGGCTGCGGTGAGGACATTTTCCATTATTGTTTTATGTGCTTTGGTTGTGTGTTTTGATATTCCATCTGAAATTTGACATTGTGCGTCCACTAACCCGAGCTAGTGGTATAGACTTGTCATGTGTAACTTTAGTAGCAGTTTGTCGGGGTTCTTATGCATCCCAAAAGTTCTAATGTTGGCGTGTGGAGCCAAAAAAATAATCCCATATCGATGCATCAAATTTTCCATTTCTGATTTGACTTTTGCCCATTTAACTTATTGTTATGCCGCTATCTTTCAGTATATGGACAAGCCTCCTAAAGGAAAGCACTCTACAAAGGGGCTGGGCAAGAAAATACCTCAGGAGTCGGAGTATGTAAAATGGAAGGACAATGTCATCGTGCCTTGTGGCAAACCAGTGCCATCAAATGTCAAGGCCTCTGAGCTCATGTATAACGAGTACATCGTTTATGATACAGCTCAAGTAAGTTCTAAGCTTTGTTTCTGTTAGTAATTGGCACGTGCCACATATGACTCTTATTTCATCACTCGTTTAATAGTGCTGATTAAACAAATAGTTTACAAGTAAATCTAAAAATGGAGTTTTTGAGGGCCATTAGTAACTTTTCCGGGTGATGACATATGTGGACAGGTTAAGATGCAATACCTGTTGAAGGTGAGGTTTCATCAAAAGAGGTGAGGGAGACGTATTGATGTTCAGTATTTTGGCCGCGGTGTAGAGTCAGTGGTGGTGTGTTAAGAAACTCACACGATATTTCTCTGTGCCGGATTTTGGATGAACATAGCGATAAGATCTATTTTGGGGTTTTGTGTGAGATCTTTGAACTTTTGCTTCTGGCATTGGAAAGAATGTTTTTATGAAATAGAATCAAGTCCCTCTTCTTCGGGCATTTTGTTCACTCTTCTTGTATTGAGGATGCCATTGTTCTCCTTGCCTCACAATATCCACAATCTTTCTATAGCATCTTTACATGGAACGGATTTACCATCCTGGTCCAATAATGCATTGTCACGTGGAGATAAAAACTTAAACATGAAATATATTATTGGACCGGAACAGTACATGACAATGAACTTCAATGTAAGTCCTTGTAGTGTATACCAAGGAATCTATCTTTAAATGAAATCCAGTCTGGCAGGCAACTGGAGCATCTAACTGGGCTGGGATATCAGACCAAACAACAACTGGACTAGGGACCTAAAGGAAAAATTAGAAGGAGAAAAACGTAAATGTAAAACCGTCGCCAGTTGGACTACGAGTTGGTGTAAGTTGGATTTTTTTTTGGGGAAAGATTTACCTAGACACAATATGTCAACTTGGCAAATCAAACAATGTATTTTAACTTTCTTACGCAATATTGTTTTAGAACGTAACAGACATAGTAGTTCCGGTTGAAAGCCTATCTTTTATTTATATTTTGTTTTTATAACTTTAGTTTTGTTTTTATACATGATCGATTGTTTCAGGATGTAGAATCATCATTTAAAGTTTAGGTTTTAGGTTGTAGGACCAAAATTTGATACTTAAGACCTAAAGTTAAAAACTCTAAAGGACAACTCTACTCTAAATAAAGAAGATGAACATATGCAAGTGGTGATTAGAATCTTCTTCCTTAACACATTGTCTCCCGAATTCAAATCTTTCTCTCTGCCTCTTGATGGAGATTGGTGTAAATATTTTTTGTCTAGTGCTATGAGTCAAAAGAAAGAAATTACGACCCAAAGAAAAAAAAAATCGTTACCGATACGGGATGAATTGAACTTGGATATGGGATCTTGCAGGCAGCTTTGCATGTGTGCCATGTGCTTGGATGATGATCAAAGTTTGACTCCAAATAAATGTTAACCTAAGCTTCCGACGTCATGTATGTGAATGGATAGGAGTTGTTTATAGAGCGAGGATCTTTCCTAGATCATCTTTGTGAGGATTTCGAGGATCCTTCAATTACATCCGTTTATCGTACATCGTGCGGCCAGTTTTCGTTAGGTATTGTTTATATTTAATTTTAAATAAAAATTTTTTACAATGATTTCTAACCGCATAAAATACGATGAACGGATATGATTTGAGGATCCTCAAGATCCTCACAAAGAGGTTCCAGTGAGGATCCTCAATCTTGTTTATATACATATGGGGATGGATCCGTAGTTTTTATTTTTTTATTTTTTTTATTTATTTATTTTTTTAATTAATTATTTTTTTATTTTTTTATTTTTAACATACGTTTTTGTGGGGCATACTTCGTAATGTATTTTCAACGATTTGAACCTTCTATCTTTTAGTTATTCCCTCAAAGATCATGTTTACCAAAATTACTCAAATCTAAAACCATATGACCGTTTAAGTGTTTAGAGTTTCTTTGTAGAATCGTATTTGTCTATTTTCTTCACTACAAATAAATGTCTTAATGATTTTGCATTTGTCTAATTTTTTGTAAGGATGATCTATGAATGATGTTATAAAAGATAGACAATTCAGATCGTTAAATACACTATGAAGTAAGCCCCACAAAATGTGTGTCAATAGTTATGTGAAAAAAAAGGTGCTATGGATCTAGACCTAGCATTCGTGTCGTGTTTTCCGTGTTTGTGTCGTTTTCGTGTCATATTTGATATCTTAACAGGTCGTATCGTGTAACACCTGTTAAAGTAAACAGGTAATATGACCAGGCCCGAAATTGACCTGTTAATATTATCAGGTAATATGATCTGACCCGTTATTTGTTAAAGAAAATATATTTTAAATCAATAAACAATGAAAATGAAAAACATAACTTGACCCACAAAAAATAGAAAACATACTAAATTGGTATATGCATATCACACTGTCACATAAATATTACTTCAAAATATAAAATAAAACAACAAATTTTTTTTGTCTTTCAAGTATTACATACTCCAAAATAAGAGCGTAATGAAAAAACATTAGTACATTACTACAAAATACCAAATGTTAAAGGATATGCAAAATGAAGGGAGTTGCATTTCAAGGTTGAGGAACCTTGCACGTTTATATATGCTTTTACATTTTTTAGACTTGTACATTAATGATTATGAATTTTATTTATTTTGAACTCTCTTAAAAATACTATTCATGAGGATTTGTATGGTTTTAAAAATTCAAATGATGATGTACCCATAGCGTAGAGCATGTGATCATGAGCCTTTGCATATTTTTTTTTCACATTTTTCGCATTTGTAAATTAATTATTATAATTTTTTTAATGTGTTTGGTATTTTTAAATTGCTTGATTCTTTTATTTTTAATGTGTTTTATAATTTTTTTAATCTCACTACCTATAGTATACTATAAAAATAATTAAAACAAATTTTTTGCATTTATATAGAATAACAATACATATTTAATTTACAATTATATACATATATGTAAGAAGGATAAGGTGCAAGATTGTGATCCAAGTGATGAGATTATCAATGGTCAAAATAAAGCCACTTGTCAAGAGATTAAATAGGTTGTTATACATATAGTTAGTGGTTAGAATCTGGTGGACTTGGATAAAGTTGGTTAGAGATAGAGTTAGTTGATATAAGGAAGTGGTTAACAAGGATTACTTGCTCTGCAAGCTTTGTACTAAAACACCTATATAGGTGATCATTGTAAACCTTCACAACTTAACAAAGAAAGCATTTTTACTAATACAAACTCTCTCTCTCTCTCTCATCTCTCTTAAAATCTGCAAGTGTTAATATCTTTACATGGTATCATCGCCGACCGATCCGGTTCTTCTGCTCAATCTCTAAAGCATGTCTTTCTCTTCTACACCCTCTAATTTACATCTCTCTATAATTTTTGGCGACGGAAAATATACAAGTTGCTCAGAAAGTTGGTTTCTTCTCGTCTATCCACCAACTATTCGATCAAAAGCCTCAGCAAAAGATTTCTGCAAAATGGTCACTGCTACTCAGTTGCAAATTGTTCAGTCACCCATCACCAATCTTTTCTCTACAGTATCCACTTCTGTTATAGTAAAACTTGATGACTCAAACTACCTTACTTGGAGCTTTCAGGTCAGATTGCTTTTGGAAAGCCATGGAATTATGGGGTTCGTTGATGGGTCAAGATAGTGCTCACCAAGATTTGACGATGATTCTAACACTGAAGGGGTTGAAAATGATGACTACTTGGTCTAGAAAATGCATGATCGTGCATTAATGCAGTTACTCATTGCCACATTGTCATCGACTGCCATTTCTTGCATCATTGGGAGCAAGAGTTCTTCTGAGATGTGGTTGAACTCATTGAAAGGTTCTCTGCGGTAACAAAAACCACAATCTTTTAGATGAAGACAGAGCTGCAGAATATCAAGAAATGGGTCAGAATCAGTTTCGGTTTATCTCCAGAATATCAAGGATGCAAGAGACCATCTTGCTGCAGCTGGAGTACTCTTTGATGATGATGATATTATCATACTTGCATTGAAAGGCTTACCCACAAAATTCAACACATTTCGATGTGTGGTCAGAGGAAGGGAGAATGGAATATCTCTCAAAGACTTCAGATCTCAACTATTGGCAGAAGAAGCTATTATTGAGCAATCCTATGACAATTCTTCTGGACTATCCTTTAGCAGTGCCATGGTTGCTGGAATTCAATCTGACAAAGGGAAATAACTTGTTATCGATCATGAGCAACCATGATCTTCTTCTGATCAGTTCTTCAAGCATAGTGAAAGATCAAGTTCTACAAATCATAATCATGGAAATGGGTCTCATAACAGTTTCAATGAGGGTTATCACAACTATGGGAGCTATAAAGGCAATAATTTCAGAGCTAAAGGTAGAGGAAGATTTCAGTACAATTATAGTACATGGTTTTCAATTGGTAATCCTGGCATTCTAGGTACTCCAAAGCTATATTAATCGAACTGCCCAGATCACCTTTATAAGATTCCTATTTGTCAAATATGCAATAAGAAAGGTCATGTTGTTGCAGATTGTTTTCAAAGACATATCAACACAACTTCGAGCTCTCCTACTCAATGTCAAATCTGTTGGAAATATAGACATCCAGCCCTCCAATGTTACCACATAAGCAACTTTACCTATCAAGGCAGGCCTCCAAATGTCAATCTTACTGCTATGCATGCCAATCATCAACCTTTAGCACCATTCGAACAATTTTGGATTGCAGACATTGGTGCTGCATCACACATGACCTCGGAATTAGCAAACTTGGATCTGTCTACCCCATATCAAGGAACTGATACAATTACCACTGCAAGTGGTGCATGTTTGCAAACTTCTAATATTGGTGCTTCTAAATTGGTGGTACCACAACATTCCCTTACTCTTAAGAATGTCTTACATGTTTCCAAACTTTCTCAGCATTTGTTATCCATTTATCAACTCTGCAAGGATAATGGGTGCAAATTCATTTATGATGATGTTTCTTTTTGGGTTCAGGACAAATCCACAGGGAAAATACTACTCAAAGGGCTATGTAGAGCTGGTTACTACCCTATACCATTCACCATTTCACAGAAGCAGTCACCTACACCACATGCATCTCATTTATGTTTCCTTGCAAAACCAGTTAATTCAAGCATATGGCACAAAAGACTAGGACACACGTCAAATGCAATTACTTCTGCAATTCTACTTCAATCTCCAGTTCCTGCATCACTGGACACATACTCCTCAATATGTACACCATGTTTAGAGGGAAAGTTCACCAAGCTACCATTTACTTTTCCTGTAACCAAATATGTACAACCTTTAGAGAAAATACATAGTGATGTATGGAGACCTGCCCCTTTACTATCCTATGAATAGTTTAGGTATTATGTAACCTTCATAGATGATTGTACCCGATACACATGGATTTTTCCATTAAGAAATAAATCAGAAGTTTTTGCAATCTTTGTTCAGTTTCATGCCTATTTGTGTACCCAGTTTTCTGCTATAGTC